GGAAAGGAAGAGCCAGTGTATCATAGGAACATCTCATTCAAGATACAAGCCTACAGAAACATTCTGTCCAAGCCACTGCTTTCTGTTGTATGATACCTTGTACAGGAACTGCATCCAGCTGGCCACCTACAGGAACAGAATAAATGCTGGATTGTTTTTACTCAGAAATGAAAATTAGAACTCCTAAAAAATATTCAAATTCCTGTCTTTATATAATATTTAAATGCAGGGGTGGAAAAAGCAAAGGACCCAGGTTTATAGCAGTTGTGCTGCATCTATGCAGAATTAAGGTTTTCTTAAAATTTGTGGCTGAACTTACCAGACATTTGTAGCTGTGTATCCCATCGTCTGTTGCTTACTTAAATAACGTTGCAATTTTGCTGATGCAATCAGCATTAGCACTTGTTTTCTAATTAGGAAAAAGCTTGTTTTGAGTTGAAGAGCCCATGGTTACAGTTGTTAGGGTTAGCTCTGGAGTTCAGTGCAAGGCTTTCTGTATTGAAACACTAATGTGAACTCTAGTAAGCAGTGGTGATCTGCTCATGGAGGTCTGTCTGTGCAGGTTCTGTCAGGGACAGCTCTAGTTACTGATGTCTCTGAACGTTATTGTCTTTGCAGGTGAAAAAAGCCAAGATGCAGGAATCCAGAGAACAAAGCTTGAGGTACGTAATTTTGAATTTTATTTTACAATTATTAGTGATCTTTTACTGTTGTAAGCTCCCTTTTTAGAAGCTTGCATATGATTTTTTAGAGGGCAAATAGAAGTCACTTTTGCATTTTATATAATTTTTACATTAATAATAATATATACTCCCATGCATCAGTATATATTAGGGGTTGACCTGCTAGAAAACAGCCCCATGAAGGACCTTGGGGTCCTGATGGATAACAAGTTATCAATGGGACAACAATGTGCCTTTGTGACCAAGAGAGCCGATAGTATCTTGGGATGCATTAAGAACAGTGTGGCCAGCAGGTCAAGGGAGGTTCTCCTGTCCCTCTACTCTGCCCTGGTGAGACCACATCTGGAGTGTTGTGTCCAGTTCTGGGCTCCCCAGTTCAAGAAGGTCAGGGATTTGCTAGAGAGAGTCCAAGGGAGGCTATGAGGATGATGAAGGGACTGGAACACCTGCCTGATGAGGAAAGGCTGAGAGACCTGGGATTATTTAGTCTAGAGAAAAGACAACTAAGAGGGGACCTGGTTAATGCCTACATGCAGGGTGGGTGTCAAGAATGGTCCAGTCTCTGCTCAGTGGTGCCTGTGATAGGATGAGAGGAAACGGCCCCAAGTGACAACACAGGAAGTTCCACCATGACATGAGGAGAAACTTCTTTGCTGTGAGGGTGACAGAGCCCTGGGACAGGCTGCCCAGAGAGTCTGTGGAGCTTCCTTCTCTGGAGACTTTCAAGACCTATCTGGACACGTTCCTGTGTGACTTGCCCTGGCTGTTCCTGCTGCAGCAGGGGGGTTGAACTGGATGATCTTCAGAGGTCCCTTCCAACCCCTATGATTCTATGATTCAGTGAAACCCTGAATTGTTTAGGAAGGTTGAACCCAGGGGTTATGATGCCCAAAGATGTTAATTTAAGAGTTCATAATGCTAATGGTTCACTTTTTTTGTCCTGGCAGTCATGTGAGCAACGCAGAAGTCAGTGATCAGAAACCTGAATCTTCAAGCCTTGGTGCAAACCTTCCCATGTCCAGTGAGAGTAAGTACTTCTGAAGTCTGTTCCCACTGTCTTTCCTCTTTTCGTTCACTAGTCTCTGCTTTGCTTCATCATGCAAAAGCTTTGTCTCCTGGTCATCCTTGGACTGTACTCACTGTCAGTCATAAAGGGAAGGTTTGCTGGGGTGCTTAGAAAGCATTTAATACCTGATGATAAGCAAATATCTCTTGTTACAAATATTTCGATCTCATTGCCCCACAACTTGCTGCTGGGTACTGCTATGTCTTATCCACCTTACACATGGCCTTTCTTGAGGGAAGGGCTTGAGTTGATCAATAGGAATGGTTATTGTAGAATATGTTCTGTTATAAGTCGTTATTTCTACACATCTGCTTGGTTCTTTTGTGATAACACGCCACACACCTGATCTTAGACGCTGAACTATATTGAATGTCTACAGAAATTCCTTATTAAAAAAATGGAGGGGAAGGTTGTGGAAGCCCCATCCCTGGAAGTGTTCAAGGCCAGACTGGATGGGCCTTTGAGCAACCTGATCTAAGTGGGAGGTGTCCCTGCCCATGCAGGGGGTTGAAACTAGATGATCTTTAAGGTCCCTTCCAACCCAAACCAGTCTGGTATTCTGTGATTACAATGAGAGGTTCATCTGAATTTGGACTCTGAGCCTTATGAACCATAGCTCCTCCTGTTGTTGCTTAATTTGTGGGATTAAGTGTGTTGAGCTGGGAGCTTCTCCTGTTTAAAGGAAAGAGAGATTGCTGGAGCCATGTCTGTGTAGATCTGTAGGAGAGGGAAGAAGGGGGAAGAGGGAAGCTTGGCAAAACAAGCATCTGCTTTGGGACACAGAAAAGAAGTTTTAAGCTTGGTGCAGATGAAGACCTTTTGGCATATGCAAGGTTTTGGGCAGGGCTGAAATACCTGCAAAAGATGATAGAACCAGCCAGTAAAGAGAAAGAGCCCTGTTACAAAGGGAGAAATGGTGCTGACTGAGTCATCTGCCTGCTGTGACATGGCAAGAAAACACATTTTTGTGCTGTTTTAACAGTGCATGTTTTGAGAATTTGTTTGAAATGGATGGTTAAGGCACTAAAAACCTTTTTAAATCCAGTGTCTTAGATAAAATGCTGCTGTTTAATTGTAATTATCTTTTCGGTTTTGAAATCTCCTGTGTAATTATACAAACTATTTTTTTCCAGTTATGACATGCACTGATTATATCCCAAGGTCGTCAAATGATTATACCTCACAAATGTATTCTGCAAAGTAAGTAAAACAATTTTTACTAAATTCTGTAACTTATGTCTTTTTGAATTTGTCATTTTGCATCTTTATGCTTTTCTGTAATGCTGTAAATCACACTTCCGTATCTTCTGGCAACAGATATTCATTGCTGTGGGCACTGAAGCTGATAGAAGTCACCCTTTGGCTTCAGTGACTGTTGGCTTATGATCACAAGGATAAATGAGCCACTTCAAGTAACTAACAATACAATTGATTAATATCCATAATATTTGAGGAATAAACAAATGAGACATGAATTGATGTAAGGGGAATATAGGATTTCCTGGTCATTTACTAGGTTTGGGGATCTTAACAGTTTCTCCTGTTGCAGCACAGTAGGTTTTTATCCCCCTTGCTTGCTTTTGTGTTGTCTCTTGGCGTTTGGACATGTACTGCTCTATTGTATTGGTGTTGTGAGGCATGATAAGTGAAACTTATTGCTCATGCCTGTTGGAATGGGGAGTTGGTTCTTCCCTTCTCACCCTGTCATCCCATTCCTGGAGTAAGCACTGGTGCTCTGGTGTCACAGAAGGGTTTCCCCTGGTGTTACTGCAAGGAAAAGGCAACATAGATAAAACCAGGAGCCTGTTGTATTGGGAAACACAAGCAGGTGTGATATTTAGGGCATGTGTAAGTGTGTGTCGTTTCTTCTTCCTAAAGCAATGTTTTAATGTCTTCTGCTCTGGCAGGGGGGGTTGGACTAGATGATCTTTCGAGGTCCCTTCCAACCCCTAGGATTCTATGATTCTATGATTTTGGAGGCTAAAAGATGGAAAATGTCAATAGTTCTTTTTAATTTTTGTTCTTTCTTTCAAATAAGGCCATATGCACATATCCTGTCTGTACCTGTGTCGGAAACAATGAGCCCTTACCCTGGTCAGACTCAGTACCAAGCGCTACAGCAGTCTCAGCCCTACACCATCTACCCCCAGACCACCCAAACCTATGGACTACCTCCTTTTGGTAAGAAATAACTTTTTCAAAGCCTTCTCAGTGCCTGCAGTTATTGTCTTATGTCTCATTAAAAAGCAAATGTTAAGCTTAAACAGGTGTGTTCAAGAGAAGAGTTTGTAGAGAGCACGTTCCTGACTTGGACTGTAGATCCTTATCTACATTACTGATGGGACTTCATATTACAAAATATTATTTCCTACAAAGCTGTTTTCCCAGCCATGAATTTGGATGTCTCCCCATGAAGCTTGCCAGATGGTTCTTAGTTTGGGATCATAATTTTCTCCAGTTGTGGTACAGCTGTGTTTGTGTAATTTCCTAGTCAGTGAAATCACACAAGACCCCCTGCTACAGCATCTCTGCTGAAGGCATTTTTAATTTCTTTTTTGCTGACCAGGACTTAAGACTTTTTTGTTATTTCATCTTTTACCAAATTTAGATTTCATGCTAAAAGATCTAGAAGTTGACTAGATAAATAACTTTGCATAAGTTGCTCTAACACTTGAGCCCTCCATTAGCCATTCCAGTTTTTGGAAATGCTTGAAGGTTAAGAGTCCTGTTGTAATTGAGCAGCTAAAGGTCCGTGGCAGGGTTTGAGCTGATCACCTTGTTCTTCCTTTATAGTGCATGGAGGGACAGACACACCTCTGGAGTGTTGGTCTGCTTTAGAAGATAGTGACCGTCTTTCTTCCTGATGTATAAAGGGAGTTGAGAATACATAGTGCAGACAGAAAAAAAAGTCTAATTTCTGGGTGAGTTAGCTAGTGAAAGGAGCTGCTTGGTCTTTCCTTCTACTCTGTATATTAGTGTCAGGCACTGGGGAAAAACACCACATGATTGACTGGCCCCCTCTTATGTATGAAGTTTTATAACTCATTACTAAAAATTAACATTTAAACTTTTCCTTTTTAACATTGCCCTGCTTGGTTTCATATCCAAACATTGTATATCGTTGCCAGCTCTCCAAAGCATATAGTGGTGGAGGCTGTTCTGCCCCATAGCACCTCTCTGCAATGGCAATTGGGAAGGAACCCTGGGTAGCACCATGGGTGCTGCCATTGGGTGCAATGAGAAATGGCCTCAGTGTGTCTGTCTCAGGCTTCTTGTCATGTTGCATAATTAAATAAATGAGCAGAGCCTCCTGCAGATTTATCTATACTGCTGAAATCTTAGTATCATGAAGTGTAAAAGGGTTATTTTTTCCTTGGCTGAAGAACTAGATGTCTTTGATTAAAACCAGCAACAGCTGTGGCTTTTGTTAGCTGCTGGCAGAGGAAGGATTTTTGTATAAATTACAAAACAATTGATTTTTTTTTGTATTTTTGAAAGTGGTGTAGAAAAGGTCATACAACTGAGCTCACTTTTATTAGGCATAAACTACATTACTAATTCTGTTTAAAGTAATATGACACAAATTGTTATCTTTATGAGAAAGGTCAATATGTAAAATAAATCTACATACTTTTCTTTTTTTCCCTATGTATACACCAGGGATTCCTGAAATGGAGTTTTCTTGTGATTGAGGGATCTTTAGAAGAAATTGATGGTTGTGCAGTGACTGGGACCAAACAGTATTTCCCACATCTCATTTGCCCTGTATTAATGCTGAGATACATTGTCCCAACTCATCTTGAATACTATAAAGTGGGAGCTTTGCAGGGTGTAAATGTTGGGCTGTTTTATTAGCAACCCAAGGCTCTTCAGGAGAATAGGTTCAGTTGGGTGGCTGTTGGTATTTGATGCTTCTGCATTTCTAGCTCAGCCCTGGCCTGTACGATTCAAGTATAACTGCTATTTCAGAGATTTTAAAAAATAACCAGCCCTCCCCACCAGCTCATATGGTGGTGGACTCAGGATTTCTAGTGGATGAGGACCTTGTTGACTCTGTGTTGTGTCCTGGGGAACCAAAGGTCTCTAGCTGTAGTGCTTTCTGAGCTTCTTCCATTCCTTCAGGAGAGCTTTCCCCTGGAAAGCTGAACCAGTTGAGAAAAGCCTGATGTTGTGTCCATACTCAAGTCTGCAGTTGCCAGTTTAATTTGTCTTCTATCTTTCTAAACACTCTGCCCCTTGTCTTTTTGTCTGGTTGTAGTGTTGGGCATTGTCACTATGGTCTATTACCTACAAACCATTCCCAGCCCCATGTTGTGGTTGCTGGAACCTACTGCACTTTGCTTTCAGTGTCCTGTTGTTTTTTACTATATCTGAACACTGGCTGGTTATTTCCTTTACTTCATTTATTTGAGTTTACTGATAGTTGTTGTGGATGGTGCACTGAGGCTGCTTTGTATGTTCTTAGGTATTTTAATGTGTCACTTTTTTTTTGTTAAAGGCAAATACATGTAAGTATGTGGAAAGGTCCTTTGAATTGTTAGTCTGAGATGTTTAAAAAGGTTTTTTGGACTTCTAAAGTTGTGGGGGAGCAGGAGGATGTAGGTGGCTTGTTTGTGTGTGTAGTGTTTTGCCAGTGGTGGTGGTGGCTGGTTTTGGCGGGAGAGGTTTTTGGGTTTTTAATCCCAAGATTCTGGAATTCAGGAGCACTTAGCTGCTTCAACTGTTATACCCCGAAAGTAACAGCAGAAATTCTTCTGAAGACCTAGACAAGAGGTCAGCATTTTCTGTTGACTTCATGGGAACTTCTGTCTGTGAAACACCTTCTGAAATGTGATTAGTTACTGAAATGTCTTGGTATGGACTTTGAGGTCTGTTTTTAAATAGCTGAATTTTTAGTCTGAATTGAAGTGTTAGGAGGATGTTAAATCTCCACTGAGCAGGTGAGGACTTGGCCAGCTTCATCAGATATTTTAATACCATCAGGGGGCCCATTCTAGAGGTTTGGATGTCTTTCTGCTGTGTATTTGTGTATTTGGAAAAAAAAAAAAAAGGTCCATGGCATCATGGACTATCTAGCTGGAACAAAGCAAATGTATTTTAAGTATGACGTTCAAGCAAGCTGACAAGCACAAGACATCACTCAGGTCAGGGTGCTGCTTTCAGAGAAGAGCTGACCTATGCTCTTGCCAATTTGTCACCTCTCCTTGTGCTGTAATACTTTTTTGATGGTGTTTGGTCCCTTGTTCTACATGCAACATACTTGTAGTCTGGAAGGACTTTATTAAAGAAGCATTAAAATAAGAGTAGTGATTTAAGGTCCCTTCCAACCTTAACCATTCTATGATTCTGTGATACACAAGCTGCATATGTGTGGCAGTAAGTAGGTGTTACAAAAGCTGTGGATGTGATGGTTTACATTAACTCAAGAAGAAGCTACAAGTGATGGGCAGTCCTGTGTGGGACCTTTCACTTGTGTACATGTGTTCTCTGACATTCTTCTGCCTCAGCTGCAGTACTGCTGCTGCTGGAAGTGGAGGGGTCTCATTCCCCTCACCCAGCTTCCTCTCTGTCATCCTCAAAGCTGTGCTAGATTAAAAATACTGTCTTGCAGAACAAGAGAGGAGGACATGTGCCACCAGGCCAAGGGTGTTCCTTGCTGTGTGGAAAGTAAAACATGTCTATTCTGCAAGATGATGAAAGTGACAGTCATGGAAAGCAGGAGCTGAAAGATGCCCTAACACATGAGTCAGCTCCTGCACTTGCATCCAGCCATCCCTGAGAACACCTCTGACATGTCTCTGACCTGGTGTTACATTCCTCCTGTGATAATAATCCTCCAGTGTTCAGAGCTGGTTTGTGTTTTAGTGTCACAATTATCAAGCCCTTCTGTGTGTCCTGAGATTGTCTCATTATGTTCCTGTCTGTTCCTTGTTCATCTGTCTTGCACTGGAAGGAATTGTTGGCTGCTGTATCCTCTAAGAACTCCTCACCCATTTGAAGATCATGGCATTCCCTTTCCAGACTAAACAAATGCAGCTACTCCCACTCTCCTTAGTGGATCTGTTTCCCATATGTTTTATTCTGAAGTTTCTGCAATATATCTACAATCTTTCTTAAATCAGTCTTTCCCTTTTGTTTGCTAATGATCATGGTTCTCAAGGTTTGAAACAGTAACGAAGACATAACTTGAGAGTTGAAGAATCAAAACCCTGGTGTGGCTGCACAGATAGGTACATGACTTAATTTGACTCATAGGTGGAAGTTGAGAACAGGTATGTAAATAAATCAAAGAGCCATTGCAGAATTTAATTCCAACAAAGCTGCAGGATGAAGTGAGCTCTTGGAGTTACTGTTCCTGTCCAGGTCTATAGAGTCTCCCATGTCTCATCGGTAAGAGACCTGGAGCTGGTAGCCAATGGCTTGTCCTACTAGAGGAGGTGAAGGGCTGCCTTTGTATTGTTTTGGGGATTTAAGAAGGAGGATGGTCCTTTTGCTGGCCCTGAACTTTCTCTCTAGCTCCAAACGTTTCTTGTCCCTCTGCTTTGCACACTCCTGCTTGTTTTTAAATAGATCCTCTCAAGCAATTCCTTCTTTCTAACCAGGGAGAAATGCTTTTGACTTTGGCTGTAAGTCTGGTAACACTTAAACAAGAGCCTGAAGTGCCCTGAAGAACCAGGCCTGAGATGAGCTACTTCAGCTGGATTCCGTTTTCACTCCTTCACACTAGACCTTCACGCAGCACCTGAGCTGAAACCACACTGCTTATGCGTGGCTTGTGCAGATGAATTACAGCCACTTTGCTGTCTGTGCTTTGCCCAGTTTTGCTACAAATGCTTTCCGGAATGGCAGGAAATCTAGAAGAAACATTTAGATTTTTTTCCCTATTTTTGAACTCTATATGCATTGCTTTCAGTCTATGAAAATGACTGGCTTGTGGCTCACTTTAAAATATGCAACCCAAAGCCCAGTGAAACAGTGGAAACATTGACCTTGACCTTCATAGATACCAACTTCAGCCTCCCTGTGTAATAGCTGGGGTCACTTGCAGTGCTGTGCAACTCACCTCAAACATCAAAGGGATCAGTAGTTCATTGATACCCATGTGACAGTGTATGTGACACTTTTTTTAGATGAAAGCTTTGGAAATTGGTCTTGTTGGTGCCTTTAATTTTCTGTTTTTCAGCCAGTTTTGTCAGCTAAGTCAGCTAGTTTTGTCTAATCCATGCACAGCCTGACAGTCAGCACTTACTATTGCAAAAATTAAACATTTTCCATGTGTGATTTATTATTTGCTTTTGTGACAAGCAAAAATCTTCATCTGAAGTAGCAGCATGTTTGTTTGTAACTGGTCCAATTTATCTGATTCAGGTGCACTGTGGCCAGGTATGAAACCTGAAAGTGGTTTAATTCAGACTCCATCTACAAGTCAGCACAGTGTTCTTACCTGCACTACAGGGTTAACCACAAGCCAGCCCAGCCCAGCACATTATTCTTATTCCATTGAAGGTAACTTGGCATGGTTTTTATCTGCATCTCTCTCCACCTAATTAAGTCCAGATACCACAAATAGAGAGGCTTGCACGTTTGTTCTTGGTTTGTGCATGCTTCTTGATGCTTTCCTTCTTTCCTTTTTGTGTGTGTGTATGTGTTTGGTTTTGTATTTGCTACATACCTCTGTATGCCCCAGGCTGGCTTGTTGGTGCCATGCTGATGGACTCAACAGGGTGAAGAGCAAATGGGAAGGGGAGAGGAGACTAAATGTTGGATTCTTGCACGCCTTTACTGGGAATGCTCTTGCAACTTAAGCTCTCTGTTGGTGGCCTTTAGCTTGATATCAGGAAATACACCGACACTGGGTCTACTCTTTATTTATTTCCTTCTGGAGGAAGGAATTGCACACATATTACACACAAACACACCCCACCTTGGTAGAACTGCTAAAAAGCAAATTTCACAGTATAACACTGCCCTACAAATAGTCTCACTACTGGAAGTGCCACATCTAAGACACCAGATGTGGAATTTAACCAGCTGCCAAAGAAAATTTCTCGGACTAAATGTGCCAGCTAGCTGAATAATGTCATATCACTGTCTAGAGCAAATATGTGCAAATTGATATTTTGTGCTAGGCACGATTTTTGCCATTTGTGTTTGGGTGGTGAATTGTGAAAATTGTAGTTGCTGAAAATAATTTCATGAATTCTTAATCTATTTCTTGTGTGATATTTTCATAGAATAATTCAGGGACTTCAGGAGATACTTAGTTCAGCTTCCCACTCAAAGGACAGCTAACACTGAATTCAGAGCTAGGTTGCTCATGCTTTATCCAGTTGGGTCTCAAAAACCACTGAGGATGTAGATTTTGCCAATTCTAGTGCCTGACTGTCATCCTGGTGAAACTCTTTTTTCAGCTCAGAACATCCCCTCTTTCACATTGTGACTGTTTCTCTCCTTCTCCTGCTGTGCACCTGCAAAAAGAGCCTGGCTTCATCTTGTTGATAACCTCTGTGCAGGTACCAGCAGGCTGCTGTCACGTCCTCCAGAGCTGTCTCTTCTTCAGGCTGGACAGTCCCACTTCCCCCAGCTGCACTGCGTGGGCCATGAGCTCCAACTGCCCAGCTGTTTTGGTGGGTCTTTGCCAGACCTGCTAAATTTTATAAACACATTTCTTGTGCTTGAAGCCCCAAACTGAATGCTGCATCCAGGTGTGGTCTGATGAGTAAAGGGAGTAACTCTTAAAATTGGCAATAAGTGAGTTTGAGAAGTTCTTTCACTGGTAGGAAGGCCCTGCAGTAGGTCATGGTACTTGCTCAGCTTGGATCATTGTGACAGGAAGTGGCCCAGTGTTAACATTTATCCTTAATTTACTTTTCACATTCATAACACGAGCGATTCTACGCTGCAGATGCTGCCTTCCTTCAAATGTAGCTCCCCTCCAGGTACTCCCACTGCCAGGATTAATGACAGTGCTTTGCAGCACCAACTTTAATTGCCACAGGTCAGAAGTATTTCTGCAAAACTAGACCCCTGTCACATTTGCCAGGGATGTGCCAGGGTGAGCAGGTGAATCCCTTGGGATCAGTGAAGTGACACAGCCACTGTCAGGCCTCTCTCTGCACGAAGATTTTAAACCATTTGATGCACGCTGGTGTGAGAACATGTGATCTGAGGAGAGTTCCTCTGCAGGCTGCTCTTTAAAACTGTGGAAAAGTCACCTAAATTGTGTAAATGCTATTGGTTTTTCAAAATGCTTTGTGCAGACTGGCAGGAATCTCTTCCTTGGTTGGATTCACTAGGTTTCCTTTCCACCAAATTAGCAAGCAGCCCCCTGAGGGGTCAGGTCAGTACTTGGGCTGGTGCAAGGGAGGTGGTGGAGAGCAGGAGCTGTAAGTATGGGCAATTTGGATTTTTTTGGCTTATTCACAGGGGAAAAGAACTGACCCACAGTGCAGAAAGAATTGGTTAATCTGGGTAGTGGGAGCTGTTTGTAAAGATCTGATGTGTTATGCTGAAAAAGAAATGGTGGAAGACCAGAGTTAAGATCAACAATGAAGTTCTTATGAGGGAATCTGTGTTTCTACTGGAATTCCAGAACTTGGAACCTTTATTCTGTGATCTCTTAACTTCTCTTATCCATCTCAGTGGAGAAGCAGCCTTTTCAGATTACTACAGATGAGAATTGTTTTCTGTTTGTGATAGTCTTGACAGAGGTGCTAGAATAATCTGTCTTCTAGATAGTTCATCTCCTCTGGCTTCATGGCAGGTTTCACAGAATCACACAGAATCTTAGGGGTTGGAAGGGATCTCAAAAGATCACCCAGTCCACCCCCCCTGCCAGAGCAGGATCACCCAGAGCACATCACACAGGAATGTGCCCAGGTGGGTTTGAATGTTTCCAGTGAAGGAGACTCCACAGCCTCTCTGGGCAGCCTGTCCCAGGGCTCTGTCACTCTCACAATAAAGAAGTTTTTCCTCAGGTTACATAGAACCTCCTATGTTCCAGTTTGTACCCATTGCCCCTTGTCCTATCACTGGACATCACTGCACAAAGCCTGGCTCTGTCCTCCTGACACTCACCCTTTACATATTTATAAACATTGGTGAGGTCACCCCTCAGTCTCCTCTTCTCCAAGCTCAAGAGACCCAGCTCCCTCAGCCTTTCCTCATCAGGGAGATGTTCCACTCCATCATCATCATTGGACTCTCTCAAGCAGTTCCCTGTCCTTCCTGCACTGAGGGACCCAGAACTGGACACAATATTCCAGATGCGGCCTCACCAAGGCAGAATAGAGGGGGAGGAGAACCTCTCTCAATTTACTGACCACACCCTTTCTGCATCATCAAGGTTTGTTCTGTATCATCAAGGATCTTTTCTGGAGAGCTGCCCTTTGTAGTGCCCCAGGAAGTCACATTTTCTTAAGGTAGTAACAGCCTTGATCATTTCCATACACGTATAGTTGGAAGTTTTATTTGGAAACTAACCCCTGTTTTCTAGCTCATGAGGAGTATCTGTGATGGGTACCTTCCTCTCACAGCTGCCCTTCTAGTAGCTGCATATCTACCGGAGGTACTTGAGTTTCTTCATTGCTATTATTGCTGTTCAGTTCAGCCTTTTATCTTGTTGCTAATTTTTCCCAAAAAAATCCTCTGCCATCTGTTTTTGAGCACTGCTGCTCCAATTTAGGAAGGTATTCCCAGGGACTAATTACTTAAATTTGTTTCTGCTTCTGCAGAGATGCCACTCTTCAGATTTCTCACCTGTAGTAAATACTGTGTGTTTCTGCACCTCTTTTAAGATACATTTCTTTTGTTTTCCACCTTTTTTGAGGCATATTTTTGATGCATTCCTCTTGACAGGAGCTGTTCACCAACTAGTATCTGTGCTTGCAACATACATTGGTTAAGAGTTCATGGTGGGGTCTGTGTCCCTGGGGTAGAAAAACTAGCCTTCAGAAACTTGAGTTCTTCAGTCTTTGGGTGAATTCCATGTGGGTGTTATTTGCAGAAAGTGAGGGCTTTTCTCAGAATCTTGGTAAGGTAGGGAATACTGTGGATTTCTGCAATTCTTTTCATCAGCATTGTCTAAAAGTGTCTTTTGGGTTTGTTTGCAAGCAGAGAAAGAAGATTCAGCGAAAGAAAATACCCCTTGGTAGCAGCTGGTTTAGTACATGCTGCTTTTGTTCATGCTGATTTCATTATTAGTTTTCATGACACCTTGAGGGTCCCAAAACCCCACATGGGGTGATGTTCAATGAAGTGGCCCCATGGCTGTAAAAACACAAAATCTGCTGAATGACTCATATTCCCAGAAAGTGCTATAGCAGCCATGGCTTGGAAGAACTGAATGCAGTAACATGAAGACTTAGACAGGTTAAAATTGTACCAACAACTACATGTCTCTAATAATTTGTCCTACAAGCTGTTGGCAAATAATTTCTGAAAGTCTCATTCAAAACCAGTTGTAGTCTCACAGGGATACAGGGAGATATGTCCACTGTCTCCAGTAGGAAACACTCTTTTTGTACTGTTGTAAATATTTTTACTGTTTCCTTATTCTTTTTTCTAATTAGACTACATGTGCTAAGTACAATGCACGGAGAATTTTTTAACAGAGCCAATTTGAACACATTCAAATCCATTTTATTGATTTATTCTGATAAATTTTCAATTGCTACTAGTGGAACATCAGAATGTGATTGTTGTCTTCTCAAAACTTTTAGTAAAGATGTGAAACTGTTTTAATTATACTCCAGTTGCTTAGCAGTCACGGGATAAAAAGGTTTCTGAAACCTTTGGAAGTACTGTTTCTAAAGAGATTCTAGCTCTCCTGCCTTGTAAGCCCCGCTGAAATGGTTTCAAAATACACTCCAACTCTTTTTTGATGGTTACAAGCAGAGTGCTGCTGGAAGCACAAAGGCTTGCACATAACCCTAGTAAGTATGTATTTCACAGCTTGTATTGGCCTCATCTCTTGTGCTTTTCTAGAAGCATTTAATATAGTAATTCTTGATTTTACAGCATCAACTACCAATGCCAGTCCAGTCTCTACATCCTCAACTGTTGTCAATATTTCCACATCATCAGTAGCCAGCATCTCACAGGTAAAAGCCTCTTCCTTGTTCTATTTGTGTGCAGCATCTCCTTCACCTTGGTTTAACACATTATTCAAAACTAACAAAGGAAGGCCAAATGTTTGTATCACTTCAAATGGAGCACAACAGGTACTAGAGGGCTCAGAATGCAACTCAAAGTCAGCAAAACAATTCTTGCTGTCTCTTTGACCAAGATGCTTTTCCTTTTGGCCTTCCCAACAAACTCACTTCATCTGTTCAAAGCTGTTTCCTTGTCTACAGATTGTGTGGTGAATCTTAAATAGGGTGATGAGAGATAGTGGAGAAGAAACAATAGAACTATTTTGAGAACAAGAGCTACAAGGAGTATTATAGGTGGATGTTTTTGAATGCCTTTGTTCTCTCTCAGCAAGAAAAGGAAAATAGGTTGTACACAGAAAAACCCAAACAACAAAAAAAACACCCAGTGAAGCAGGAGATACATTCTGATGGTGCTAGAATAAAACAAAGTCCAAAAGCCCTGCAGGTAGTACAGAGCCATTCTCCCTGACTGTGACCTGCTGTGATGTAACCTACAGTAACCCCTGACAGGGCTTAACTGCCATCCTGAGTATTTAGATATGCAAAGGAACCCTTCAGTGTCACAACTTCGCAGAAAGAGAATATAGGAATGTGGAAGATGCAATAGATACACAAAAATCCTTCTATGCTTAGGCTGTTGCTTTTTAAGTTTCTTTAACATAAACTTGCTTGGAGCTATAAGGGGAAAAAAAATATTTTCTTTCAGTGGTGCAGACCAAGGTACCTGGTTTACAAGTTCAGGTTCAGGTTTGGGGGAATTGGGAGTGGATGGTGTGACAGAGTGTGATGTGATATTGGGGGGGGCTGCTTTCTTCAGTGTCAGTAGCAGAAATGAAGATCCTCAAGCACAGCTTCAGAGGCTGAGTGATCTCATCCTAAATGAGGAAATAGTCTTCATAAATGGATACCTTTCATCACAGCATGTGAAGAAGCTGCTTGCTGAAGTCAGGATATGAGTAAAAGCAGTTTATCCTGTAGCTCTCATGGCTGGGATTGCATCCTCAGCCAGTGCCAAGACCAATTCCCGTTGCTATCAGTACACCTGGTATCAGAAAGTAAAAGACAAGACAAAACTACAAATTCCAGAGCACAGACAGAGGAAACTAATGCCTTGGCATGCACTTGGTACTCCCCTGTTACTGTCACCTTGTTCATAATGAGTTGTTTAATTTTGCCCCCCTAACTGGAGGCAGAGGAGTGGCCCTATGGTGGCTGACATCTGTCTGCAGAATCTGCCTGTCCCCAGGGGGCACTGGGAACTCAGATCTCTCAACCCTTTTTGGGGATGTCTTACATACGTAGAAAGACCCAGCATGAAGTCAGGCTCTGCTCTTGCTGGGATTTCTCTTTGAAAGGCATAATCTAGCATGGAAAGCATCTTAACATATAGTGTTTTCTGAAGGAAGTGTGCTATCATAACTGATCCTTTCTTCTGACAGGAATACCCTACATACACCATCCTTGGCCAAAGCCAGTACCAGACGTGTTACCCAAGTCCTGGCTTTGGAGTCATCACCCCAGCAGAAAGCAACACAGAGACTTCTGCCTTAGCACCAACCACGTATCCAGCTGAAAAGCCAAACCCTGTGGTGCCTGACCGGCCAGTGCCCAGACATTCCTCAGGTAATGGTGGGATCTCTAACAGCCTGGCTGCAAAATTCCTGTGGCAGCACAGCGTGCAGACAGGAGGAAAACTTATTTCCAAAATATAACTGCAGAACCTTTGCCTGCTTGTCTGGACAGGGTATATGCCTCCTGTTGTCAGTCTGGTCTCTCTGGTGTGGGCCATGATGGTGGGCCAGACAAACTTAGATATTGGAATAATAGAATCAGAGCTGTTCAGGTTGGAACAGCCCCTTGGGATCACCGAGTCCAACCATCATCCCTACTCTACAAAGTTCTCCCCTAAACCATCTCCCAACACCACATCCAAACAACCTGTAAACACATTCTGGGATGGTGACTCCACCACCTCCCTGGGCAGCCTGTTCCAGTGTCTGACCACTCTTCCTGTGAAAAATCTTTTCCTAATGTCTAGTCTAAACCTGCCCTGGTGCAGCTTGAGGCCCTTCCCTCTTGTTCTATTGCTAATGACCTGTGAGAAGAGACCAGCGCCAGCCTCTCTACAATGACCTTTCAGGTAGCTGTAGAGACTGATGAGGTCTCCCCTCAGCCTCCTCTTCCTCAGACTAAACATTCCCAGCTCCTTCAAGGGTTCTTCATCAGATTGATTCTCCAGGCTCTTCCCCAGCTCCGTTGCCTCCTCTGTCCTCGCTCCAGCGCCTTTAGATCTCTCTGGGATTGAGGTGCCCAAAACTGGGCACAACACTCCAGGTGTGGCCTCAGCAGTGCTGAGCACAGGGGGACAATCACCTCTCTACTTCTGCTGGTCACACTATTTCTAATACGAGCCAGGATGCCATGGGCTTTCTTGGCCACCTGGGCAAACCTGGAAGTCTTACACTGCCTCAGTTCAGGAGACCCCTGCCACATGCTCTGAATGCCCTAGGGAGAGGGAATTCCAGGGGCAACCTTTGATTCTGTCATGTGTCGGGGCTGGGTTCACCCGTGCTACCAGTCTCAATTACTCCTGCCAGCTCTGTCCCTCCAACAGCCAGGGATGCACATGGCCTGACAGCCACAACAGAGCTGCCAGTCCCAGCTGTGGGAGCCCTCCAGGGCTGCTCCTGCATTTTCAAGAGCTGTAGTTTCGTTACCATTTTCAGATTGCTCCCTAAGCACAGACACAGTGACTAGGTTCAGGAAGGACACATTGTTATTTATTGCAGGGTTGTACAAAGCTGGGTGCTTGGTGCCTTCCCACAAACCAAGCACCCCAAGCAAGATTTTCCACAATGTATTTATACGCAAAACCATAGAGTTAGTGAGATTCCAAGGCCATCCTCCTTACAATGATTGGTTATCAATTTACATAGTTATAATATGGTTGCATCACTATTTCTTCTACCACACATGTTCAGGGGAAGGGTCTTCAGTTGGGCAGGGGTCTTTTTCACACAGAGATGTTATTTTTAGTATTATAATGAGCCAAGTTCACCTAGAGGACACAGTATCTCAACTTCTACCACTCCCACTGCCCAAGACTGGTTCAGCCATCAATCTTCTTGATTCTGGTTCTTTATGGCCTCCTGCATTCCTTAGGTCCAATTATCCATATAGACCTCAAGTCTTCTCTGCCATGTTGGTGATTTAGATGAGACACTCTTTAAACCTCTTGATTGATTGCCTTCTTCAAGGCCTTGTTATTGCAGGGTGTCCTTGCTCAGTGCTGGCTGTGCTACTGATTGTGTGCTTCTCTGACTGCAATTTTAACATGTATATATATACAGAGCACATCTTACACAAAATAACCACAGCATTCTAAATTTCTAAGTTAGTTTTCAATAATTTGATGTTGAAAACCTAAGAAATTGACTTGTTATTTCAAGGCACTGTTCGGGAGTGGTTCAGTTAATGTTGTCAGTACCTTTTCGTAGCTCAGGAATTCTCCCAAGTTTACCACTTTGCATTAATTTTCACAGGAATTGCAATGTCTCATCTTTAAGACCCATACTGAATTCGGGTCCCTATGTCCTCTGCCTTCCCACTACAGTTACAGTTCTATTTCTGAGCTAGTTAGCTGGACATTTGGGATGTTGACTCTTCTGCCTGAGCTGTTAAACAATTCAGAGTATCTCCCATCATGGTTGCATCGTTCTGCACATCAAAGCATTGATCTGATGGTGTTCTAGCCAGTTCTTACCTGTAGCAGCATAGGTCCCATAATGTATCCCCACAGTGCTTGGCCAAGCCTGTGTCTCCAGGACCAAGATCATCTCTGTTATTCTTTACTCATTCTTGGGTAGGCCAGTGGAGCTGTGGTGTGAGGGTTTCCCAGTCAGCACAACGTGGATTTGTGCACGATTAATGCTCGGGATAACTCTGTGCACTGACTGTTGTTTGACTGTTAGCAAAGGCTCCCAGCAGCACAGAGCAAGTAGTGTATGTGGAGGTGGAACAGCAGGAGTTGTACAGTGCAAAAGGACAAAAAAGGCATGTGACTAGTCCAGGAAATCTGTGAGGGAGGGACATGGTTAAACACTTTCTTTTGTCCACTCATTCTGAACCGCGGGTTTCTGGGGCTCAAGCCTTACGAAACAAAATAAAGAGGTTCCAGGGTGATGAGACACTTGATGGATGGTTCTCTGTCTTTGTGTTGGTACTACAGGCAGGGTGCAGTAGGTAGCTCAATCCTGGAGGACTGAACTGAGGAGACAGCTGTTCTGAAATGATGGGACAAAGAAATCGTGTTTCATGTTCTAATCAGGGTTCAACTACTACCGCATCAATAAAGCAAGATAACGTCTTACCTTTTGCAAAGGAGGTCTGTGGCCAAATGCTATAAGCTTTATGTTGGTGTTTGTTTTGAGACATGACAGAACTCAAAAGGTCATGATCAATGGAGCGAAGTCGAGTTGGAGGCTTGTAACCAATGCTGGCCCCCTGGTGTCAATACTTGGTCTGGTCTTGTTCAACATATTCATCAATGACCTGGATGAGGGGACAGAGTGTGACCTCAGCAAGTTTATTGATGATGCCAAACTGTGAGGGGTGGTGACACTCCAGAAGGCTGTGCTGCCATCCAGTGTGACCTGGACAGGCTGGAGAGCTGGGCACAGAAGAACCAAATGAGGTTCAACAAGGGCAAGTGCAGGGTCCTGCACCTGGGGAGGAAGAACCTCAGGCACCAGTATAGGTTAGGGGTGGACCTGCTGCAAAGCAGTTCTGAGGAGGAGGATCTGGGAATCCTGGTAGATAGTAAATGATCCATGAACCAGGAATGTGCCCTTGTGGCCAAGAGAGCCAATGGAATCCTGGGATGCATGAGGAAAAGTGTGGCCAGTAGACTGACAGAGGTTGTCCTGCCCCTCTACTCTGTCCTGGTGAGGCCACATCTGGAGAACTGGGTCCAGTTCTGGGCTGCCCAGTTCAAGAGAGACAGGGAACTGCTGGATAGAGTCCAGGGGAGGGCAACAAAGATGACTGGGGGGTTGGAGCATCTCCCTGATGGGGAAAGGCTGAGAGAGCTGGGACTGTTCAGCCTGGAGAAGAGAAGCCTGAGGGGAGACCTGATCAATGCCTGTAGGTATCTAAAGAGTGGGTGCAGGAGGATGGAGCCAGACTCTGCTCAGCAGTGCCCAGGGACAGGATGAGGGGCAATGGGCACAAGCTGGACCATGGGAAATGCCATTGAAATATGAGCAAAAACTTCTTTACTCTGAGGGTGACAGAGCCCTGGGACAGGCTGCCCAGGGGGGTTGTGGAGTCTCCATCTCTGGAGATATTCAGAAGCCCCTGGATGCAGCCCTGTGCTCCAGGGGCTCCTGCTTTAGCAGAGGGGCTGGACTGGATGATCTCTAGAGGTTCCTTCCAACTCTGACAATTCTATGATTCTATAAAGGGGTGAGAGCTGTGTGATTTCTTTCTTCTAGGAGATGCATCCACAAGTCCTTCATTATCAAGAGCAACAGCAAGTAAAGAGTTAGATGAGCAGGCAAGAAAAAATGTCCCTGGGAAGAACAGGGGGAAGAGGAAAGCAGATAACTCCTCCTCACAGGACAGTGAACTGGAGGTGAGTAGTGATCTTGTTTTCCACAGGTAGCATTGCAGAATAGTGCAGTGGTAAAAGTTCTGCTCTCTTTCTATCTTCCTATCTCTATGGAAATGGGAGGGAATGATAGAATCATAGAATAATTTGGGTTGGAATGGACTTCTAAAGGTCATATAGTCCAACCCCAGAGACATCTTCAACCAAATCAGTGTGCTTTGAGCCCCATCCAGCCTGACCTTGAATGTCTCCAGGGATGGGGCATCTACCACGTCTCTGGGCAACCTGTGTCAGTGTTTCACCACCCTCGTTGTAAAAAATTTCTAGTCTGATTCTCTCCTCTTTCTGTTTAAAAACATCACCCCTTGTCCAATCACTACAGGCCCTGCTAAAAAGTCTATCTTTCTTATAAGCCCCCTTTATATATTGAAAGACCTCTGTGGAGCCTTCTCTTCTCCAGGCTGAAACTCAACTTGGTCAGCCTTTCCTCAAGAGAGATGTCCCATCCCTCTCATCATTTTTGTGGCCCTCCTCTGCACCCACTCCAACAGGTCTGTGTCCTTCCTGTACTGAGAGAGAATTTGGGAAATTCCCATGACCCCTGTTTATCTGAGAACTGGCCCAAATTAGTTCTTCATTGGTCCTTGACAAACATCACTTAAATACATGTTGGAATCATAGTGGTGTCAATGAAGGAGACATCTGGATGTCTCTAGTACAGCCTTTCCTCAGAGCAGGGCTGTCCCCAGCATCAGAACCATGGCTTTGTCTAGCTGAGTCTTGAGAACTTCCAAGGTTGAAGATCCTGTACCAGTCTAATCCCCTGTCCCAGGACTACCAGGTCCACTGGGTGAAGTAGGTTTAGTTTAACCAACTGGAATCTCCCAAGCTGCAATTTTCCCTTTCTTTTTTGCATGGCAATTTTCCGTTTGCAAATACTGAGAATATTTTGTCTCCATCACCTTTGCAGTTCCCTTCAGTTAGTTGTGGTCAGCTATGAGATCACCCTTAGCCTCCTTCATGCTGAGATAAACCATCACAGCCCTCCCAGCCTTTCCTGACTCTCTCGACAGCCTTTTGCTGGCCACTCTCTAGTTTCCTCACATACCTCTGGAATGGGGGATGCAACTTGGGTGACCTTCTGTGGGAAACTGTTCTTCTTTCCCACATAAGGATGAACCTTCCCAGTGCCAAGTAGGGTGAGATTGCACCTTCCTTCTCTCATCTGGGCACTGACAGACTTTGTGTTCTCCAGCACACTGCTCATCTTTCCCCCAGAGAGGTGGTGTTGCTGGCTCTTGCTGTGCCTGGTGTCCACTGTACCCTCGAGTTCCTACCAGCCTGGACCAATGCAAGGGGTTATTCTACTACATGTGCAGGATCTGCAGTTATCAAACTTCTTCTAATATCTTTTGGCCCAGTTCTCAAGCTTATCAAAGTCCTTCTGTAGTGGAACTCTGCTGTTCCTCCTGGCAGCCAATCCTTCTTATTTATCATAACAAAGCTGTCTCTGATAAACGACAAGGTCATGTACCTGATGCTCTTCAGATCACAGTCAGTAAAGTTCTACCCTAGCAGGACTCTAAAATTCAGTAGCACTCTAAAATTTTCACTTTTATAGCTATTTGTAACTACTAAATTGCTTTTGAAATAGTTTGACCAAGACAGCTTTACTTTGAGCAACAGTTTCACTGTAGCCATTGATTTATATACTGTAGCAATATATACACCCAACTGCACTGAATTAGAACCATAGAATCATCAAGGTTGGAAAATACCTTCAAGATTATCAAGTCCAACCCCCCCCCCTACAACCCCCAACCACTAAACCATCTCCTGAAATACCACGTCTACCCCTTTTTTGAACACCTCCAGGGATGGTGCCTCTACCACCTCCCTGGGCAGCCTGTTCCAAGGCCTCACCGCTCTTTCTGGAAATAAATGTTTCCTAATATCCAGCCTGAACCTCCCTTCGTGCAACTTGACCTCATTTCCTCTTGTCCCATTGCTGGTCACCAGGGAGAAGAGCCCAACACCCCCCTCACCACAACCTCCTCTCAGGCAGTTGTAGAGGGTAATGAGGTCTCCCCTCAGCCTCCTCTTCTCCAGGCTCAACAGCCCCAGCTCCCTCAGCCTCTCCTCATAGGGCTGGTTCTCAAGACCCCTCATCAGCTTAATAATGTGTTCAACCTGTAAGATAAATACTCCTGTTCATGTCTGTTAAAAAGACACTGTAACTAGCCACAAAATTAACCTTAAAACTTGCTCCTTGGTTGTAGCTCAGTGCCTGGAATAGCTCAGCTCTGACCTGCTTTTACTCTCTACACAGCGAGTGTTTCTCTGGGACCTGGATGAGACCATCATAATCTTCCATTCACTCCTCACAGGGTCTTATGCTCAAAAATATGGCAAGGTAATGTTGTCTTTTCTGTGGAAGAAAAACTGTATCTGTCATCCAGCATGAAATGTTTGTCTTTGGAAAAGGAATTAAAAAATATGTTTTGTTTTAAAGCTGTGAGGTGATAGTTCTACCTTGCTGGCAGTTTGGGGCATGAAAGAACACCAGAGCTGGGATCTGGGAATCACAAACACTTCCCTTCTAACAATACAAATCTTACCATGTCAGACTGTTTTTATCATCACTGGCATTTATGGCAGTCCTAACCCCTAGTGGAAAGAGGTATTTGTTCTCCTTTGAACAATATTGAAGATTTTTGAATATTTTGTTTGTGTTGCCTCTGAAAATGCCTCAGTCCCTGCCATGCGGAACTGAAGTGTTATAGTTTGGGTCAACATATATGGATTTTCTTTATATTTTTTAAAGTTGAGTTGTTGAAAATATTAGGGAAATTGTAGTTTGCACCATTGGTTGCAGAGGGAATTAAATCAAGCTGGATATACAGAGGGACCTCTGTGCAATGTAACTGATGAAAGGTTTATCACAATTGACTTCTGCCTGTAACCACATCTTCTTTTGTGTTTTGCCAGGATCCAACTCTCGTGATTGGCTCGGGTCTGTCAATGGAAGAGATGATTTTTGAAGTAGCTGATACCCACTTATTTTTCAATGACTTGGAGGTACATGACATGTTTTTGAAAGACAAAACTCAGTGTTACTGGTTAGGATGACACTGTGCCCTTGGTGAGGGCTGTTGTTCTTCAGAGCCACTTAAAGCTGAAACAGTCTGCCAAAACTGAAGGGGTTCCAAGCACAGTCCAGTCTGAGCTGTGCTCTTTGCTCAGAGACAGGCCCTCTGCAGACTTCTCGTCTTAGCTCTCTGATGGGTTTCTACTTGAACCTGTATAAATAAAAAGAGTGGTGTCTGCTTTGTCTTGTATTTATATTCTGGACTAGTGAGAACTTTGCTGTCACTGTTCCTGTTTTGAAATGGAGACTAGAGACACAGGGATAAAGGTGGCCTTGAGATTGTCTGTTCTGAGTCTTCAACTAATCTAAGGACAGAACAACATCCTGGGGCTTATGCTGTGACTCCCCAGTGGTGGAACTGAACACTGTGTTGATGAACTGGGATATCAGGACTTGACCTGATAATGTAGTTTTTGGAGTATTTTTAGGTTTGTTTGTTTTCTTTTTATGAAATGGCAACAGGTCTTCAAATGAGAAGTGAGTTTTGAATCCAGCCTGTTTAGTGAGTGTGGAAGTTCCTTTTTTGCAGACAGCTCAAAATGTCATAGAAACATGCTTCTATCAGACATTTCTGGTACTTCATATTCCAGTCTTGGCAAGGACCTGTACGTGCTGAAAAGTAAAAGCTAGTCCTGGAAGACAAAGCTAGTGGAAGCTGTGTATAGGTTTGTGGAGGCAGTATGGCATGGCCTGGTGCTGTTGGGAAATGTGAGATTATTCTATATCACACTTTCTTTAATCTGAAAATTTCAGTGTATTTCTGGATTACAACAGTGTGTCTTTATTTTTTTCTTTAACAGGAGTGTGACCAAGTACATATAGAAGATGTGGCATCTGATGACAATGGCCAAGATTTAAGGTGGTGTGCTGCTGTATTCATCAAATGTGTAGCTGATGCGATCCAGTTTTTGTGGGAACTTCATACCCAGATGGGGTTGAGGTCACACCCAGATGGGGTTGAGGTCACACCCAGATGGGGTTGAGGTCACACCCAGATGGCAACATTGTGCAGGGGATGAAACTTGGCAAATGGTGTTTGTTTGCTGAGTGATACTTCTTTGAAGACCTACAAAACATTAATGTGATTAATTAACACATTAATTCACATTAGAATGTGAATTATATTGTCCACCATTTAACGTTGCCTATGTGCCTGATGACATATTGTGAATGGAGAACCAACACTCCAAGCTTCACAGTCTCAACCTTTGAAAGTCTCCCTCCATGAGCTGATGGTGTACACTGTCAGGTGGGGTGAGGGTAAGTTTTCTGCTGCATTAATAAGCTGAACTGGTCCAAAGAAAGGTCTGAGAAGTGCCTGTCTGTCACACGGAAAGAAATACAAGGGAAGTGGTGAAACAGGACCTGTTTCCTGCAGTCACAATCCAGTCAAGCAGCTCATTGCCTTCTGGAGTTGCAGCTGTGATGTGAAGACACAGATGTTGTGTTTGGAAAATGCTGTGGTGGGTTTTATCCCTGCAGAATGAAAAAGGGGTTAGTGGGAAGGATGCTGTGAACCACAGAGGAGTGAGTAGCCCAAGAGTAAAGGCAGGTCTGGTAGTAAAGGGTGTGAAAGAAGAGTTAAGTCAGTACTTAACATTTCAGTACAGCAGCTCAGAACAGGCAGCAGGCGTAGCTGGGTGTCAGAGTACGTTGCCTGCAGTGTCAGTCTCTCTGACAGTGTCAGTTCCTCTCTGAGGTGCTTTCTAGCTGATGTCAGAGCTGGAAAATCCTGCAGTGCTGCTGTGGTACATGTAACAGATCTGCTTTTCTGAAACAGCAACTACAATTTCTTCACGGATGGCTTCAGTGGCTCGGGCAGTAACACAAACCACAGCTCCTCAGTTGGTGTCCAGGGTGGAGTGGACTGGATGAGGAAACTGGCCTTTCGATACCGCCGGGTACGAGAGACCTACGACAAATACAAAACCAACGTTGGAGGTGAGTGTTCACCTGCACCAACATCTCAGCACTAGGCAGAGTCTGTGGTGCCAGACTCTGTCCTTCGTCAGAGCTTTTGCTCTCCTAAATCTTTGGACATGAAAATGACCATTCTTCTAGTGCTAAAGTAGATCAAATCTCCATGGAATCTATGAGGGTATGTCTTCCAAAACTGCATGGCCACTCCACTCTGTGAGTTAGCAGGTAGATAGGGGTGGTCAGTCAGTCAGAACAAACAGAAGGGTCAGTCAGGGTTATTCAGCCTAGAGGGTTATGGGTTGGGTACCCTTTGCCCACATTAAAAAAAAAAATCTTGATACAACATTTTCTTGGACATATTTTCTAAAAGCCACATTCAGAACTAACTTTCAGCCTGAAAAATCTATCAGTGTAAGTGCCTTTCAGTGTGCTGCAATTACCTTGTTTCTGATGGGCATCAAACCATTATCCCATGTTTTGCACGTGGGAAAACTGGATGGAAAGTTTTTCAGGAGCTTTCTAAAGCCACCTCGTAAAGCAGTTGGATCCCTCTGTGGCGTCATTGTCAGAGAGTGGAGTGAGGTGGGGGTTTGTATGTCATGGCTGGAAACTTGGGGAGGAGTTTGAGACTCAGGTTTCTCCTTTCTGATTGAGCAGGTTTGAGTGTATGGACTCCATTTCTGTCTGCTTTTAATTCAAAAGTGGGTGCTTTGAGAAAATGGTATCTAAAAGGGATAAATAATATGAGGATAAAAAAACACGACAGGGGGAGATAAAACAAAATGGGGATTAAATAAAAAGGGATAAAAAAAGGTCTCTAAAAGGCATTAAAGTGGAAAGGGTCCCTGGGAAGTAGGAAGTCAGAGAGGGGATCTGCAGGAGTTCTTTCCCCTGCTGTCTGTGGCTTTGGACATCTACTGCTGTGAGTGCCTTGTACAAGAGAAATGCATTTTGTTGCATATATCCTGAGAAATGGTTTGAAATAACTGGAGAAAAGTACCCTCCCAGTTCCCCATGGTCAGTCACAGATGGGTGTCTGAGCTCCCCTGTGTCACTGGGAGCTGGTTTCTTCTGTTGCCCCAGGGCAGTCTCAGCTTTCAGATGTCTTCAGTACCATGTTACTGCAGAACAGGCAGCTGTTCAGTGAGTGGTGGCTCTCTCTGGTTTTGCCAATTGAGCTGGTAAAACGTGTTCCTTGCCTTCCAGGCCTTCTTAGCCCACAGAAGAGGGAAGAGCTGCAGCGACTAAGGACTGACATAGAAGTGCTGACAGATTCCTGGCTGGAAACTGCATTGAAGTCCCTGCTACTCATACAGTCCAGGTATGGAAGATGGAAACGTGTACTGCTTTCTCAGCTCTTTCTCTCACTTCGATTTGCATGCAGTGCTGCCTTGCAGCAGTGTCCATCCTACTGCTGTTTGTCACAGGTCCTGGGAGCAAAGTGAATGGGTGCAGGAACTTCACACCTGAACACCTTTTGGGATGTTTCTGCTGCAACATCTGTTGTTAGGAAGTTCCCCACAATAAACTGTACTCACAAAATTGTGTTTTCTGTGAGAGAATCTCTGTTGAAAACAAAAAGCAAACAAACAAAAAACAGAAATCAAAACTTTGCTCTAAAAAGCCTTTTAAAATTAGGCCAAGAAAGCACATGGCACTTTGGCAAGCTGAACAAGCTGCCCAGAGTAGCTCTCAGCACCACTGGCTGTGGATCTGCTTTTACAAGTGTTTTTCTTCTTTTAGAAAAAACTGTGTGAACATCCTGATCACAACCACTCAACTGGTGCCAGCTCTTGCCAAAGTTCTCCTGTATGGACTGGGGGAGGTGTTTCCCATTGAAAATATTTATAGTGCTACAAAAATAGGTAAGAGGTTGTGCTGGGGACCTGGCACTGAGGTGTCTGCTGCGGGTTAGCTGGGATTGTTACACTGGAAATAGCAGGATTGCAGCTGAGCAGCTGCTTTGATCCAGTTGACCATGTAACAGGGGTGGTTTCTGGCCTCACAGACTGAACTGGACATTATCTCCTTCACAGTAAGACAAGAATACTTTTATGTACTGGGGAGGAAGGGCCTGTTGAGCATTCTGTTGCTCTCTGCCTAAGGTTCCCTACAGCAGGGTTGTCTCTTGGCAGGTAAAGAGAGCTGCTTTGAGAGGATTGTGGCACGGTTCGGAAAGAAAGTCACTTACGTGGTGATTGGAGATGGGCGTGATGAAGAGGTTGCAGCTAAGCAGGTGGGTTCCTAACTCTGCAGACTTGGGACTGGGTTGATACAAAGGCAGGTGGACTGCAACAGTCTTTTTCTGCAGAGACTCTTTCAGGGCTGAACTCTTCAGGTCAGGGCTGCCAGGGGAAAACTTCACTTTGATGCAAGAGATCTTTCACTGTGGGGAGTGTTCTGGCTCTTGGGGGTTTAAAGTTTCTGTTTTACTGTTTAAGATTGTGTGTTTCTGTTTAAGAGTGTGTGTAACATTTTCCCTGTAAAACAGTATCTTGATGTAGCATGCCCTGATCACAGCATTCATTGTGCAGTTTCTCAGAAGCACTGAGGGACAAGGGACTCAGTTGCCCGCAGACAGATCAATACACAGCATCTCCCATTAGTCTGAATTACAAAGAAGGAGCAAACAGTTTGATTGATTTAGACAGGCCTGATAGCTCTTTCATGCTAATTAAAGGCAGTGAAGTGCACAGATCACTGTCAGGACATCATCTCTGCAGGCTTCACACTGTCTGCCACATGCCGGAGTTGTCACCTCCACAGGTTCCCTGGGAGCCCTAGAAAGGCTTTCCCAGCTGGAGCAGCTTTGGGCAGCTGAGCAATGAGGTTTCCATGGTGAGTGAGCAAAGCAGTGGGTGGTGAGTGCTGGTGACCAGCAGAAACAGCTGTGCAGATAAGACAGGCTTCAGCTCCAGCTGTGCACATGGCTGCAGTCCCTCCTGAACATGGTTTGCTCAGCAGTGCTGTCAGGGCTGCTGTGTTGCACAGCCCTGCACGTACCTTGGCTGCTTCCACCCAGCTGTAAAATCACTCCAATAAACCTGACTTTGTCCTCTCTCTGTTCCAGCACAACATGCCTTTCTGGAGGATCACAAATCATGCAGACCTCGTGTCCCTTCACCAAGCTCTCGAGTTAGACTTCCTGTAAGAAGTTGGGGCAAAGCCAACCTGGCTGCACCTTCTGCAGACCCGCTCCACTGGGGCTGCAGATTTCACACATTTGGGGACTCACTTCTCAGCTTGATGAAGAAAACATACCTAATGCAAACTGTCCAGTAGAACATGACACCAAGTCATTTCCTCAGGAGCACAGGCCCTGCCAAGTACAAAGGTGTCCTCTAAAGGAGCACTAGGCTCAGCAGAGCTAGAGCTTGTCTGAAGAAGAGACTTACAGAAGCCAGCTGAAGTCCTCTAGCAGGTAGTTTCCAGAGGGATGGAGTGAAACAACAGCAGAAATATTTGTAAGAGCTTTCTCCTTTCTATTCAGCTTAGTTGTAGTACCCAAGTAAACACAAATCCTTATTTTTATAGAAAAATTCTGATGGCAGAGCTGAACCTCCCTTGTTTTGCAAAGCCAAAAAAAAGCTGTTTGTTGGGGGGTTTTTTTCATAGGAAATATTAATGAAAATGTCAAAAATACCTCTGTTGCTGTGAAATGTGTCCTCTCTCCTTCCCTGGGTGTTCAAAGCAGTTAATTTATGATGATGTCCTGATGTTATTTCCTCAACGTGGTATTACTGGAAAATAGAAAGATAAGGGAATGTTTCTGGGATGTGTAGTTCCTTGTAGAGGAAAGTGTTGGTGTTCTGAGTTGATGCCAGTGGCTTCTAGTCAATGTGTGCACAAGCCTTGTTAACAAGCTAGGATCACTGGATTCCAGCTATCCATGACCCAGACCTTAGATCCCACAGATTCTCCCTGTAAAAGAAAACAAAACTGCCTGTGAACATTAGATACAGCACAACACTATTACAGACTGCTCAGATGGGAGCAGAGTCCTTGTCTGGACTAGGAATAATTTGAGAGAACTAAATGCTGATGAATGTTACAAAGAAGGGTTTGGTTACTACCCTTCACCTCTGCTTTCCAGACTCCATTTGTGAGAGTAAGTTCCTTTTAGTAGAATCAGCTGAAATTTTCTTCTTTGCATTAGCCTAACTGCATAGGTAGAACCAAAACCCTTGTTAAGAGGGACTTCATTTTCTAAGACACTGTGACTTGGCAGTCTGGAGCACACTGGCCTTGGGGGTGATGATTATGGTGTTATTTCTGCTACCATCCCAGAAAAAAAGGGTGGGGTTGGTGACCTGCAGCACCACCAGCCAGAAACAGTCCCTGGGGTCTGGCACAGGAGCTAATTTTGTGATCTGCCTCCTCCCTGTGCCCCAGTGGCAGCAGATCAGCAGTTGCCTGTGGTTTGTGCCCAGAGGACAGATGTCTGCTGTGCCTCACTGCCCACTTCTGCTGAGCCAAACCCACAGCTACACCCAAACCCCTCCAGTGCTCTGGTCTCCAGCCCAGTGTCACCAGTCTGGGACCCACAGGGGACTGCTCCGAAAGCAGGTTGCTTCAGTGGAGGACCCACTCCAGGGAAGCAGATGGTGTGTTTGCTGCTTTCCTTTCATGGCATTAATTACTGAGGAGTAATTTCTGACAGTGCTGGGGGAGTTGCTGGGCCAGCTCAGCACATGCTCTGCTGTGTCCTGGGAGCGTCTGTTCCTGGGCCAGCTCCAGTCACCACTGTGGAGGAGGTGCCTAGAGCAAGAGATTGGACCCCCAGAGCTAAGGAGCTGGGCAGAGGTCTCTGTTTCAAATGTTCCTAGCTCCAGTTTTGGCTTTTTTTAAAAAAAAAAAAAAAAAAACAAATCAGTGGAGTTTGTCCTTCTCCAAGGTGGTGACAGAGTCAGGAGTGATCTGCTTCCCATCCAGACATTCTGCTTCAGGAGCATGTTGTCTGTGTAGAAGCTGCTGCCTGTGGGCAACATGGCCTTGCATCCCATTAGAAAAACCTGAGGAGCCCATTTCTGCTGCAGATGTTTCTGAGCAGCCCCTGGGGAGGGGATGTTTTCTGGCTGCACTAACATCTGCTGGGCCAGCAGAGCCCCAGGTGCCAGCAGGAGGTGTGTGTGTGGCTCAGCAGAACGGTTACAAGAGAAGCAGGAGCCCACAGGGGATGTTCCCCATCTGCTGGGTACACAATGTGGAGACCTCAAGTGTGTTACCAGGAGTCACCCCCAGCCAGGGCAGCCCATGAGCTAGTGCCTCCCAACAGCTGGGCAGAGCAGGCAGGGACACTGCAGGGCTCCAGCTCCACTGCTGCCAGGGCCACAAGGAGCTCGGTTTGTCTGGGGTGCCTGGGAAGTGTCACTTCTGCATCAGCCGGTAGGAAGTCAGCCATGCCAAGAAACAGCCTCATTTCTCCCAGGGTCTGAAATGTTGCCAGAAGATCAGGACTTGTAGTCATAGAAGAGTCTGTGCTGGATCCTGAAAATCTCTGCAGATCCCAGCCCATCCAAAGGTCTCTCGTAAGTGGGCTTGGGAGGTGTCCCAAGGTTCCTGTGCAACAGCCTGTGTGGAGCGTTTCCTACTCTGGCTGGCTGAACTTTGGGATTAAAACCTGTGCCTTAACCTCCCACCATCCAGCCTGGCTTGAGTGGCCCCTTTGCTTCACTAACATCAAGGCAGTTGCAGGAGCATCACGCTGGCCTGCACAGGGAGCTGGGATGTGCAAGTGCCAGACCCAAGGTACCAAGCAGCCTGGCAGCTGGCTTTGCTTTGTGTTTGTTTACTTTAAAATGTTTTAAGGAAATTTTAAGATGTCTGCAAAATTTTAGCTGAATGTGGAACTCTTGCAGCCAGTGACATTTCATACTGATATTTATATGATGTCTCCTTGAATGTATGTAAAGTACTTTTATAATAGGAGGTTGATGGTACATTTCTGTGTTTGTTTAATAAAGGTTGACCTGGCTATTTTATTTTTTCCTGTACTGGCTGAATTTAAGACTTTTCCTGTCTATTGTGTGGAAGGAACAGCATCTGTATCCAAGCATTGATTTGCTTCTGTCTTTGTGCTCTCCCATTACCCCTGACCTGGCTGTAGCCAAACTGGTGACAAACTGGAATGCCTGAGGGACAGCCAGAGAGCCTGGCCAGGGCACTGGGGCTGAGCCTGCCTGGGTGCTGCCATTCTCCCTTCCAGCTTTGCTGCAGTGGCTTTAAAACCCACCTGATCCACTTATGTTTGCTGCCTCCAGGATTGTCTGTGCTGGCATCCATGGAAAGCAGCAGGACCTCCAGAGCCCCCAGCAGCAGGATGAGCCCGGGGAGCTGCTGCTGCTTCAGAACCTTCACCTGTTTGTGATCTGTGTAATGGGAACTGTCCTATGAACTGGAAAAATAAAAATGATTTAAAAAAAATAAAGGCTTTATTTTCTATAGTCACTGCTTCTGCCTGTTCTCTTGACACCCCTCAGTCAGTCCCTGTCCCCTGCAATGGCCCGGGCTGGGCTCAGTGGTACCAACAGTGTTCAGGGTAACAAGAGCTGCACAAGATCCCATTCCCCTAGTGTGTCCTGTGGGAGGCAGCAGTGGAAGTACCCACGCCTTCGTGCTGCTGGGGTGCAGGCACAGGACACTTGGACAGTCCCACACAAACCCTGCCTTGGCCATGGGCTTATCTTGTTACAGCCCAGCTGTGGTCTTAGCCTGTCAGCTCTGCAGCAGCTGCAGCCAGAGCCTGCCCAGCTCTGCCCCTGTCAGCTTCCAGCCGGAAGGGACAGGCCAGAAGGGTCCTGGCAAAGGTAGCAATGGGCAGGACCAACATTTCTGTCAAAGAATCCACAGTGGAATGTGCTTCTCCACTGCTGAAGGGGCAAAGCACTGCCCCCAAGCACCCAGCCCCTGCAGTGTCCCACAGCACCCGCCCAGGGTGTGAGCACCCACTGCCCAGCCCACTTGGGGCAGCTGCTCTCCCAGCACAGGAGAGTCCCACCCCGTTCCCTGTCCCTCTCTGAACGTGGCAATAATGGGTGATCTTTGACCCGAACAGCAAAACAGAGGAAAAGCCTGGCTGGAAGCAGAAGGATCAGACAAGCACTGCCAAGGAGCTCCCACCCCTCACCAGCAACCCCCTCCCCAAGCAGTAATGGTGGCAGCAGGCACAGGAGGGGCACAGACAGAGAAAGAACAAAACACCTTGAGGGTGGGTTTGATTCATTGGTTTGGGTTGGTTTTTTTTAAAAAATTATCATTTATTTATTTATAGTTGGTTTTTAAAAAGCTAATAATAAATAACAAAACAAGCTGGCAGGCCAGTGCAGCCTCCATGTGCTGGACCCCCCCATGAACACTGTGGCTGGGGGCACAGCAGTGGGAGCCACACGGGCACGTGCACATCACCCCTGGATGCTGCCAGGTCCCTCCAGCTGCCCACAACAACCAGGAGGACAACAGACAAATCTATCTCCCTGGCAAGTCCCTGTGGAGGAGGCAGCCTCAGACAGCAGCCTCAGCAGCCACCCCGTTCAGGAGGTGCTGCCCCAGTGGCCAGGGGAGCTGGGCCCGGGCCAGGCACTGCAGCCGCCGG